TGGGCTCCAGCATCAGTCCCAAAATTCCGCTGAGCAGCCTCGGGGCCGGCTGCCATTGCCGCTGCCTGTCCTTCTCGCGAGCGCTGATCGGGGTGCTGGAATAGATGACGGTGGGTTCCTTCTCCGCGCGCGCCGATCGGGGTGCTGGAATTGGCTGCGGCGCCAGATGGCCGTCTGCCCGCCGCGGCGTCCGCCGCGAGCTCGGCGGCCTGCGCCAGCCCTCCGACGGCTGCCGCGGCGCAGGCGCAGGCAACGATCGCTGCGGCCGCGCCAGGCGCGTCAGCTGGTCGAACGTGCCGCGCCAGGCGCAGAGCCGGCGGCTTCGACCGCGCTGGCGGCGCCAGCGGCGCCAGCCACGGAGCGGCGCACTCGGACCGCGCTGACACGCCCGCGGGCGTCGGCAGCGCCTGGGGCACCCGCAGAGGCGAGAGGACGAGGGGCCCAGCCCGCGCTTACCGCCGGGAGGGCGTCAGCTGCGAGGGCCGAGGCGGCGGCGCCAGTAGCGCCGGAAGCGCCTATCGCGCCAGCAGCACCAGCCGCGCCAGCGGCGCCAGGGGAGCGAGAGGGCGAGCAGCCCAGCCCGCGCAGACCGCCACGGGGCGTCAGCCGCAAGGGCCGAGGCGGCGGCACCAGCAGCGCCGGAAGCGCTCGCAACGGGAGGCGCGCCTCCGAGAGCGGCCGCGCCCGTCGCGCCAGCAGTGCCAGCCGCGCCGCGCGGCGTCAGGGAGCCCCGGCGGACCAGCGTCGACGGCGGCGGCGGCGGCGGCGGCCAAGCGGCGACCGGTGACTGGCAGCGGCCAGGGCCTGCCGCCGCCGCCAGGGTCTGCATCGCCTGAGCAACGGGCCCAGAACTCCGTAGCCCCGGCGCCGAAAACCGAGGTGGCGCCGAAAACCAAGAGGCACAGAAAATGAAAAGGAGGACGAAAACCCTAAAAAGCCGAACACAAAAAAGGGGCGCCGAAAACCAAAGGGGCGCCGAAAACCAAAGGGCCCGAACCAAAAGGGGCGCCGAAAACCAAGGGGCCGCTGAAAACCACAGGATCGCCGAAAACCAAAGAAGCGCCGAAAACCAAAGTAGTGCCGAAAACCAAACGGGCGCCAAAGACCCAAGGGGCGCCGAAAATCAAAGAGGAACCGAAACCCAAAAAGACGCCGAAAACCACGCGTAAGCCGAAAACCAACGGGGCGCCGAAAACCAACAAAGAATGGTAGCTTCGAAGTCGCCCCTTCAGCCGAGCCCTCGAGCTAGCTGGAAAAACCCATCGAAGGAGGCAAGGGGGGGATAGCTTTGGAAGCCTCCCCCCCTTTGGAAAGAGAAGCCCGGGCCTGCCCTGGGCTCCGAAAAGGAGGGGGGGGCTTCCAGCCCTCCCTCCCCTTTGGCCAGGGAGCCCCCAGCTACAAAACCCAAGCAAAAGGAAGAGGGTGGGTTAGCTTTGGAAGCCCCCTCCCCTTTTCAAGGGCAGCCCGGGCTGACGCTGGACTCCGAAAAGGGGGGAGGGGTGGGGGATAGCTTCCAAGTCCCCCCCCCTTAGCGACGCCCCCCCCGGCTGAAAAAGGATCACAAAAGGGGGGGAAGGGGGGGTAGTTTTGGAAGCCAGCCCCCCTTTTCCAAGGGAGGTGGGGGGGAGCTTGAAGCTGGGGCCCCCCTTTAGTGAGAAGTGTGCCACGAGCGCGCTCTTTCCGACATGCGCATGATATATGTGGGTGTGCCGTGACTCTGCGATTTCGGAATGTTGCATGCGCGTGTTCATTACATGTGTTTGCTATGCCATTTGAACGTGTGTGCACATCTGGAACTTTCGTATGGCATTGTTGTCTGGTACGTATCTGTGGCTATGTTTATTGAGTGTGCTATTCATATATGCCCTTTTCGCCGGTTCGGTACTCCAAATCCCTTCTTATTCATCGTCCCCTGGGTCCGGTTTTTAAGGCGCCTTTTTTGTAACTGGGGGGTCCCGTTTATTAGGGCATTTTCTTTGGATTGGAGCTTAGGGTGTCCGGTTTATCTAGGCGCCCCGTCGAAGAGGGGGGTCCGGAATATTACGTCGCATTTGGAGGGGGGTCTGTTTTTTTTGGGGGGGGGGTCGATTCATAAGGGATTTGGAGTACATATGTTCTGAATGTGTGTGTGTGTCTCTGGTGATTGTGTTCGAGCTTCGACTTGCCTAAGACCTCCTCTCGGAACCCGAAGAGCGCCAGCGGGTGCTTGTCAGCAGAATGTTTGGGGAAAACCACAGGGCTGGCACGAAAGAAAAGAGCCTCGGTGTAAACGGGTCCTGGACCCTCAGGCTTCCCCGAAGACAAGCTTTTCATCCTGAACTGATTGTCGATCGCCCGAAACCTACGACATGCTGAGAGAAGGTGGACAAGGATGGCGGCAACGCGTGCCGTTGTAGACCGCTGCCGGCCATAGCCGCAGAAGAGAGGCCCCCGAGCATGCGGCAGGAGATTGGCAACACCTGGTAGCTGACAAGAGGGATCCAATGGAAAAAACGATTGAAAAACACATACTGTGAAAACACACACACAACCACACAGTGTGTGTGTGTGTGTGGTATGTGTGTGTGTGATTTTGCCACTTTGTTTTTGTTGCACAGTGTGTGTGTGTGTGTTTTCTACTGTGTTATTTTCCACCGTTTTTTTAGACAGTGTGTTTCCCCACAGTTATTTTCCACAGACGCATACGACCAGAACATCTGCTACAAGAAATAATATTGGGGCACAGTGTTCGTAAATCTTTGTGGGCCCTCTGGTGCCCCAGAGATACCTGCGGGCTCCCTGGGCCATCGTGGAATCCGAGATTTCCGTGCGGTACCTGCGGGCAGGATGATTTTGGTGCGCCGGCTGTCGTCCCCGAAGGCTCCCCAAAGGTCCGGATCCTTTCCCAAGAACCGCTTTTCAACAGCCCCATGGCCCAGAAGAGGAGCCCCAAAGTCCGAAAACGACCCTAAGACTCCCGTCGTGACTGTTTTTCTGAACGCGAAGACGTCAGGGCCTTGAGCGCTGCAGACCAGAACTTGGCGGCGCGCACGCGAGGAGGGCGGTTTCGGTAGGTGGATCTCTCAAGCTATCCGCCGCCTCTGGCGGTGTGCGTTGCGAGCAGGTACGCAGCAAAGCCACAGGAAAGCGCGGCATTGACAATGTAGCTCCGCATACGTGACAAATCTTAACGAGCAGGAACAGCAAAACCCCAGGACAGCAAGGCATTGACAGTGTAGCTCAACCAAAACAAGGGGGGCGGCCTTCCGAGGAAGGCGGGGCGCGCTTCCAAGAACGCGGGCGGCTTCTTATAGAAGGCATCTCGTCTGCGAAAGAGAGCCTTCTCGGAGAAGTCCGGTCGCTTCCAGGAAGGCTCCCGCTTTCCGAGAAGCCCCCCGCCGTCTCAGAAGGCCCACCCCCTCGCGCCACCCCCTCTCGCGCCCAGCATCAAAAGAGGAGCAGGGAAAGCCGACACCACCAGCACCTGCGCGAGGAGCCAAGAGGGGATCCTCATGTTGGTATGGTCACCCCGCCCCCGCTCGAGCCACCCCGAATCCCCGGCTCGGGAAGGCGTCGTGGACCTCCTCGCTGGAGGTGGCATCGCTGGTGGCGGTGGTGTCGCTTTTCCTGCGGGGCGAGGGTTTCTCCATATCCACCGTCTGGGGAAGCGGTGTCCTGGGACCACCAGGGGCGGTGGATGTGGACGTATCCGGGCCCTGGGTGACCCGACTTCATCAGCGCCCATCGCCTGCTAAGGTCCCCGAAGCTCGATCCCCCTGGCGGTGGTTTTGAATAAACGCCCGCCTCGAAACCTCCATCGCGCCCCCCACCCCCCTTGCGCGCAAGTAAAGAATCCGGGGCGTCCACGAGGGTGGCGTCCAAGAGGGGGGTCAGTAAGTCATGGACTGAGGTATGAACAAGGAGGAGCAATGAAATCCACTGAGATGTCATGGCCCCGGCCATGGTATCCACCCCACCCCTAGGGGCCACTTTCTTTAGAGTATAGCAAGGTTTCACCAGCATGGAGCATGGAGGCAGGAGCGGGGGGGGCGAGGCCCGAATGGAAGTCTGGACTTTACGCAAGCGGAACGTAACCGTCACGCCTTTTCGGCCCAACGCTGCTTGAAAAGGCAGCGGAGGGGGGGAACGCCATGCAAGTAAACTGGCCACGATCCCAATACAAAAAACACGCTCCTACATCGGCCCAATGAAAGTTCCTTGGACGTTCATCGCATCGCTCGCTCGCGGAAGCCGGAGGACGTAAAACGAGAAGGAAGACGGCGGAAGGCCGTCGGAAGGCTTGCGGAAGACAGCGGGAATGAATGACGCCCCGTCCGAGCCCTCCTCCCCCCCGCAGAAGCCTAGCAATGTAGTCTTCTGACGTGGGCCAGGCAGGATCCCGCCTAACTTACTCCCCTTTAGTATTATATTTTTAGCTCAGCCAGGCTAAAATCCAACCCAATAAAAAATTGGGTAAACAAATATCCCGCGTCGTTCACGGATCCCGCCATGCTAGGATCGGCTCGAAGTAAGTTTGGGCCCCGAAGTAATAGCATTCTTGGCGTGTCAGGGTCGTCTTGAGGTCACATCTCGGTCACGCTTGGATCGCGCAGCCGTCGCGTGTCCATTCTGGGGCCACCCTGGGCGCGCGTGGATCCATCTTGTTGCCATCGGGCCATCTCGGCGTCACGCGTGGCTCCATTGTTTGGTGATCTTCGGGTCGGCCTGAGACGGTCCAGAATCCATGGCGGGATCGTGCTGGGGTGGCGTCATCCCAGGGTCGGCTGGACGTTATCGCCTTTGGCCTCAGGCCCTCCTGGAACCATTTTGCGGCCCATGGAGGCGTCTTGGGATCTCGCGCGCGCGCGAGCGCTCAGCACGCGCGCGCGCGCGACAACTCACCGTACACACATATACTTCTTGTTTCGATGTTCCAAGGAAGCTTTTGTTGGAGCCAAGTGAACATCACCGCCCTCTTGGCCGCCCCCGACAGAGCCGCGAAGTGGCGGCGAGCGGCGCTCCTTCCGACACGGCGGCGTTCGCGGGCACCCGCCGGCCGCCTCCGGGGACGGCGAGCCCGGAGGCGGCGAGGGCGACACCTTCGGGCAGCCCACGCTGCATCGTCGTCGTCGTCGCCGCCGCCGCAGCCGCGGCCGTCGTCATCGCGTCGTCGCCACCGCCGCCGACGCCGCCGCCGCCACCGTCGTGATGGTCGTCGTGGTCGTCGTGGTCGTCGTGGGCGTGCTCGGCCTCGTGGTCGTCGTCGTCGGGTCGTCGTGGTCGTCGTGGTCGTCGCAAACGTTGTGATCGTCGTGATCGGTCGTGCTCGTCGTGGCGATCGTCGTTGTCGTTGTCGTGGTCGTGGTCGTGGTCGTCGTCGTCGTCGTCGTCGTCGTCGTCGTCGTCGTCGTCGTCGTGGTCGTCGTGGTCGCCGTGGTCGTCGTGGTCGTCGTGGTCGTCGTGGTCCTCGTTTCTCGTCGTGGTCGTCGTGGTCGTCGTCGTCGTCGTCGTCGTGGTCGTCGTGGTCGTCGTCGTCGTCGTCGTGATCGTCGTGGACGTCGTCGTGGTCTTGGTCGTCGTCGTCGTCGTGGTCGTCGTCGCCCCCTGGCGTCGCCGGGTCTTCCTCGGAGGTTCTCTCGTCGCCGCCGCGGAGTCTGTTTTCCAGCAACTCTTCGCCTTGTCGAGAGCGCCCCGGAAGAGCCCGAATCGCACCGTTCCCCTCCGCCTCCTCCTCCTCCGATCCCTCCTGTCCTCGGGGGCGCGCAGGCATGGATTAGCGATCCATGGACTTGGCGCGCGGTCGCCTGATCCATGGATCGGGAGAGGTGCCCTCCCCAAAATGCGGCCGGTGCCGCCTCGCTCGGCGCCCTTAATCCATGTTTGCGATCGCCTGATGTTTGCCCCCGCCTCTGGGCCCCCCCCACCCCCGCCCCCCAGGCTGCAGTCGAAGCGGCCCACGTTTACGCCCCTCCACCCCTCACAAATGGACAGAGGAGGGAGTGGACTGGGGCACGAGTGCTGCGCACTGAACTGTCAGCGGATCGCGGCAGGAGGATGAGGAGGGGGATGAGGATGATGAAAAAGAAAGAGAAAACAAGGGGGGGAGGGGGAGGAGAAGGAGAAGGAGGAGGAGGAGGAGGAGGAGGAGGAGGGGGAGGAGGAGGAGGAGATCTCAAATCTGGAACAGTAAATCCCGTGCGTGTCTATGCTAACTGTGTTGCTGATCAGGTGGCTCGATGGGCTGCTGATTTCTACAAGTTCCACGAGGAACATGTTCTGAACCAGGAGGAAACACGAAAGCTTGTCGTCAAACGCCTAGCTGACATTCAGGGCCAAGTCTGGGCCCACGGACCAAACCTCCAGAAACTCAAGGTCCCCAGGAACCCGTCTGCTCGGAGGCTACGGGAGGTCCACATGAGCCCCCATTTTCTTGAAAGAAATGGGGACCGCACCCATTGCAGCAAGAGTGCCAGGGCAGGGGTCTTTGGCAAGGCCAGGGGGGTCAACTTCCCCTGTTGCCCCGAGTCCTACTATGTGCCCGGGACTCCTGCGTCCCGCCGCGAGCATCCGAGACCGCCCCCAAGCTGATGGAGTCACTCGCTGTAGATGTCGGGGGGGGGGAAGGCGCATCGGGAGCAGGAAGCGTCGAGCAAATTGCCAGCCTCCCCGCTGCAGCAGCGGGCGCAGGGCCGCGCGACGCTTTTCTGCCAGGCCGGCGGCCGCGCGGGGCTGCAAGGCAGGGCCCACGGGGGCAGCCCGCCCGCCTTCGAGCGCGAGCCGCCCGCGAGGCCGGAGCCCTGCCGCTGCATGCTGGAGGCCAGGCAGGACGTGCCCACGGCGCGCGCGGATCATGCCCGCTACCCTGGCAACTGGTAACCAGAGGAAATGAGGAGGAGGAAGAGGAGGAGGAGGAGCAGGAAGGCGGAGGAGGAGGAGGACGAAGAAGAGCAGGAGGAGGAGGAGGAGGAGGATCGGATCGGATCGGATCGGCTCTATCGCGGTGCGAATGAAAGGAGGACACAACTCTCCACCCAGACCTCCACGGCGACCAGGAGCACAAGGTAGCGCTCCGCGAGCACCAGGTAGAAGAAGAAGTGTCACTGCTGCTGACAGTCGGAAGGCTTGTCAGCGGTCAAAGCGACACTGGGACTGGGACCCGCTGCCGCCGCCGCCGAACGTGTGGCTTCCCCGAGCTGCCCCAGCAGATCACTGATGCTGCAATCGCCGCTCGGCCGCGCCGAACGATCTCCTGCAGCCGATATCGTCGTTCTCAAGGGCCTGGTCGCTGTCTGTGGCCCCACCCCCCTTAGGGCGTCGGCGTCCCTCAGGAGCCGCGCCCGCTCCTCGCTGGCCTCCCACCGCTGGATAGCGGCCTTCTCGCACGTATTGACTGCCGCACTGATGCTGATCGTGTCGGGCTCACTCCCCGCCAGCGCCGGCCCGCGACTGCAGCTGCTAGAGAAGTGACTAGGAAGAAAGGGCCCAAGCTTCGGCGTCCTGGTCTCGCCCGTACCGATCGCAACACTGCAGCTGTCCACATAGGGCTGTAAACTAGAAAGGAGGCTGGGGATAACGGGCTCTACCTTCGCCCTCCTTTTCTCGCACGACCTGATCGCAGCGCTGTAGCTGATCATGTTGGGATCCGTCTTCGTCTCCAACTTATCGCACACGCTGTTTTCAGAGTTGTGGCTAGAGAGGATGGCGGGCTCCAGCTTCGCCTTCCCCTTCTCACAGGCCTCTGAGTTGTGGCTAAGTGACGTGTCGGGCTCTAACGTCGCCTCCCACTTCTCGCAGGCGTTGTTCCAAGTGATAGGGCTAGCGACGATAGTGGGCTCTACCTTCGCCTCCCCTTCATCGCACTTCTCCCAGGGCTTCTGTTGCGCCCTCCCCTTATCACATGCCCTGATCTCAGCGCTATAGCTGATGGTGTCGGGCTCTTCCTTCGCCTTCCACCTCTCGCACGCGCTGGTCCCCGTGCTGTGGCCAGTAATAGGGATAACTGGCTCTAACTTCGCCTTCCCCTTCGCGCTCGTCCTGATCGCAGCGCTGTAGCTGATCCTGTTGGGCTCTGCCTTCACCTCCCACATCTCGCACATACTGTTCACAGCACTGTGGCTAATGATGGTAGGCTCCAGCTTCGCCTGGCACACTCCCATCGCCTCCTGAGCCTCGCACGCCCTGATTGCAGTACTGTAGCAGGTCATGTCGGGCTCTAACATCGCCTCCAACTTCTCGCGCGCGCTGTTCTCAGAGCTGTGGCTAGGAGGGATAACGGGCTCCAACTTCGCCTTCCTTTTCCCGCATGCCCTGATCTCGGCGCTGCAGCATATGGTGTCGGGCTCTGCCTTCGCCTCCCGCTTCTCGCAAGCGTCCTCGCCGCCTGCGAGTCGCCAGCCGGCCGCCAAGCCCTCCTTGAAGGCGTCGGCAGGATCGGGAAGCACTGCCCAGCAGCCGGGGGCGTAGCCGACCGCGGGCGAGTCCAGCAGGTGCAAGACCTCCGCGCCCTGCTGCTGAGCCCGCCGCGCGGCCGTCCGCCACAGCCGCGCCCGCCGCCGCGCGGCGCGCGCCACCGGTGTCGCCCTTAGCGAGGGCGGGGCGGCGGTGGCGTCCTCCCACATGTGTCGCGGGCGACTCGGGTGGCACAGCGCCGTGCGCAGGCCGCTCTCGAGTCACCACTCGTGGGCAAGATGAGAGAAGTCGCCCCGCGGGGCTGGGGTCGTGGTCTGTCGGGCCGCTAGCCCAAAATGGGGCGCCTCGGACCACAACACCTAGGAGGAGGAGGAGGAGGAGGAGGAGGAGGAGGAGGAGGAGGAGGAGGAGGAGGAGGAGGAGGACGCCTTCGCGGAGGAGCCCCCGCGGAGGCCTCCTCCGCCTTCTCCTGCCTCATCTTCCATCCCTCATCCATACATCCCTCGTTCTCCTCATCCTCCAACTCGCCCCTCCTCCCGCCCCCCCCTCCCTCCCTGCCTCCTCGACTTCGGCTTGCAACTCTCCATGGCCTCCTGAGGCGGTCGGTGCTCGTCGTTATCGGACGCCACTCCAGCTGCTCGCGCGCTCCGCCCCCGCCCGCCGCGGAGACAATCAGAGCTGCGCGAAGCAGCCCGCCTCCGACCGTGAATTAGCCAGATGCGGCCAGGCCAGGTGGGGAAGCCAGGCCTCTCCATTTGCTTCCGTGAAGGGGCAAGAAGTCTGCATACACATGGACTTCCGGAGCCCCGCGTGGACTTCTTAGATCGGCGCTGGACTCCCCCTGGCGGCGGCTCCAGCGCCGCCCCTGGCGCGCTCCGCACGCCAGGGAAGGGAAGCCAATGCCGATCCAGGACATCCGCGCGGAGTTCCGACAAGTTGATGCTTTACGCAGGTCTTTCGTCTTCGATTCGGATCTGCTTGCAAAGTGCTTGCGTCTGCCCCTGCCCCTGCTAGGCTGACGATGAGCTTCACGCGGTTCGAGGACTCCCTCCGCGGAGGCATCCCGCCGCCGAGGGAGCCCCTCTGCCGAGGGAGCCCCTCCGCGGGGGAGGCCCCCCGCCGGGGGAGCCCCCCCGCGGGGGGAGGCCATCCGCCGGGGGAAGCCCCTCTGCGGGGGAAGGCCCCCCTCGCGCAGCGCAGTGGCTCGGTGGCTCCCTCTCCTGCGGGGGGAGCCTCCCCCCCGAGGCGCCCCCGCCCACCCGCCTGCTGTGGCGGCGCGCCGCACGCGCACGCCGGCAGGACGGGGCCCCGCGCCAGCTGCGGCGCCCTGCGGCTGGCCGTCGGCGCCGTCGGGGGCGAGGGCCAGGCGGCGCCGTCGTGGGCAGCGTCGGCGCCGACGCGAGGAGGAGGAGGAGGAGGAGGAGGAGGAGGAGGAGGAGGAGGAGGAGGAGGAGGAAGAAGAGGAGGAGGGAGGAGCAGGAGCAGGAGGGAGGGAGGAATGGGAGGAGGCTCCTTGGCTCCTCCTCCTCCTCCTCCTCCTCCTCCTCCTCCTCCTCCTCCTCCTCTGATTATCCTGTTTCTCCGCCGCCGCCTCCTCCCCCTACAGACCCATACATTCTTCATCCTTTTCAACTCCGCCACCGTCGGCGTCGTTGTCGTCGGCGTCGTCGTCGTCGCTGGCGGCAGCGGCGGTGGCGGACTCCGCCTCCGCCGCCTCCATTATTATTCCTTCTACGTACCTTCTCCCTGTCGCATCCCGAGGCCGCTCGAATGGGCGGGCTGGGCTTTTCGCCTGAGACTTCCCTACCACTTCTGACCCTGAGGCTAAACAAATGGCAACCGTTTCACAGATGGAGGGCGGGTCGTTTTCAAAATGTGGCTCTCGCCTTGGCGCCGAGCACATTCGTATTGAAGAGCGCAAGAGCTTCACGCATTGAGGACGGGTGGTTTTCAAAATGTGGCCCTCGCATTAGCGCCGCGCACATGCGTATTAAAACGTGCCAGAGTTTCATGGATTGAAGGCGGGTGGTTTTCCAGATGAGGCTCTCGCCTTCGCGCCGCGCACATTCGACTTAAACATTTGCAAGAGCTTCACCGATTGAGGGCGGTTCGTTTTCAATCTGTGGCTCTGGCCTCAGCGCCGCGCACATTCGTCTTAAACATGTGCAAGAGTTTCACCGATTGAGGGCGGTTCGTTTTCAATATGTGGCTCTGGCCTCAGCGCCGCGCACATTCGTCTTAAACATGTGCACAAGGTTCACATCTTGAGAGCGGTTCGTTTTCAACATGTGGCTCTCACCTTAGCACCGCGCACATTTGTTCTAAACATTGTACAAGTTCCAAGGGCTCCCATGGTCAAAGTACCAGGAACCGCGCTTGGGAAAGATTAAGGAATTACGTTGATTCGCGGAGTTGAAGTCCCAGGAATGGCGTTCTGCGCAATTCAAGAGCGTCAAGACGCAACAGCCGGGCTGATCCGTGGCGTTGGAGTCCCGAGAGCAATGTTTCCACATGCTTCAGGGTCTTCAACCGGTTGTCTTCCAACGAGGCAGTTCCCTCAGTGGAAATGAACCCCTGTAGGGGCCTATGAAGACGGAGCTCGAAGGGAGGGTTTATGCCAACATCGTTGATGACTTTTGAACTTACACTGGTCCTCCTCCTCCTCCTCCTCCTCCTCGTCCCGCTCATACTCATCCTGGCGACCTTGGCGATGAAGGCGAATCAAGCAAGTGCTCGGCGCCTTTGCCTCCTCCTCCTCTGATTCCGCCTCCTCAGGCTGCCCGCGCTTCATCGTTGTCGTCATCATCGTCGTCGTTTCCGTCGTCGCCGTCGTCGTCGCAGTCACCTTCGTCGTTACTGTTGTCGGGGTCGGCGCCGTCTCCGTCGTCGAGGGTCGAGTTTTTAGGGGCGCTTTCTGACCATCGCTCGTCATCGGTCCCTATGCCGTCCTGGGGTCCATCCTGGCAGGTGTTTTCGAACCGCGTCCAGCTTCGGCGACGGTGAGCTAAATATTCACGTCGGTTCGAAGCATGAAAAAATAGGATCCTGGGGGGAACGAATCCTGGACCCTGGGGCTTCCCCCAGGACCGGCTTCTCAGCCCGAGCAACAACTTGACGAACTCTGAGCCCGACTAAGGTCCCGAGAGCCTGAACACGGCGAAAAACCTCCAGGACCCCTCTCCCTCGTCCCAGAAGTCCGACCTAGTCATTTTCTCACAACGTGGTCCCACAATGGTCTGCGCCCCGTCCCGGGGACAGATTTCTGATCCTGATTCATTTTTTGACGTTCCTGGGGCCAGGCATCGGCCCGTGAAAATCGAAACTTGCCAAACACCTTCTGTCGTGATCTCTTCACGACGCCAGGAGGTCAAGGTCAGGATCCTCGGTCCTCGCTCCCTGCACGGCGACAAGAACGCTTTGCCGCATCGGATCGTCGAGCCGCCAGGTGTCCCCCGCCTTCCTCCCCGCCCTGCCCCGCCCGCGCCTGCTGGGGCCGCCGAGCAGCGCCTCGCTGCGCGGGGTGCCGAACAGCTGCTCTCCCTGGAGGCCGCGGCCCGACGCCGTCACCTGCGTCGGCACCGTCGCCGTCGCGCCGTCGACACTGCCGAACCCGTGCACACGGGTGCCGCCGTCGACACCGTCGCCAGCGTCGCCATCGCCGTCTCCGCTGCGGTCGTCGAACACCGACGCCCTCGCGTAGTGAACAAAATCTCCACGGGATGTCTTCGGCAACTGTCAGCTTGGAGGCCGTCAAGACGCGAATCAGGATTGAAAGCTGGTCCCCGGGGAGGTCCAGAGCTGCAGTTATTAGGAGACGCTGTGAGCAGAAATCGCGACGTCGGACATCGTCGCCGTCGCCGTCGTCGCCGTCTCCATCGCCTCCATCGCCATCGATGATGCTAGCGGCGTCCGGATCATTGCGTCCACGTAATCCGTTTCTTCATGTTGCTCAAACCTGGCTCATCATATCTCGCCTGCGAAGGACATTACATATCTCGTCATCTTTGTTTGTCGTCCTTGTCATTCTAGTCGCCGTCGCCGTCGTCACCATCGTCGCCGTCACCGTTGCTGCCGACAAGCCGTCGCCGTCGTCGTCTTCCTCGCCGTCGCCGCAGTACTCGTCGATATCGTCGTCGTCGTCGACGCCATTGCCGACGTCGCCGTCTCCGTCGCCACCATTGCCTTCGATGCCGCCGCCACCAGCCCAATTATCCTATCTGTTTCCGCCTCATCCTTCAATCGCTGTTCCTCTTTTCTCGTTGTCCTCCTCCTCATACCTCATACCTCCTCATTCCTCCTCCGGTTTCCCTCGTTTCCTTTCAACGTCCTCTTTCTTCTCCTTTCCAGCATGTACAGCCTTTTCCTTGTCCGCCTCCTCCGTCCTCATGCTCACTCCCCGTCCCTAACTCCTCCTTGCCTCCTGACCCTTGACCCTTATCCTTCTGACCTCCTTCTCCCCTCTCCACTCCTGCTGCCTAACCCCTCTTCCTTCCCCATCCTCCCGTTCCTCCTCCCTGTCCTCTTCTCGCCCAGAGCCCTTACCTTTCGCTTCGCCTGTTCAGGGATGAGAGGAAGGAAGGGGGAGAGAAGGAGGGATGGATGATGGAGGAATGGAGGAGGAGGCGGAGGGTTCGAGGAGGAGGAGGAGGCGGAGGACGAGAAGGACAGAGAAGGATGATGATGATGAGGTGGAGAGGCGCCCGTACATTCGACGAGTTCAAGGTCGACTCACTCAACGCCGAGGCCTCAGCCAGCTGTAAGGCTGGACGGCTGCAGGCGGAGAGGGATGAATCGTATAGTTGTCTAGCGTCTTACTCAAGCCGCTTTGGGGGCTTCGAGTGACTGCGGAATCGAGTGAGCCCGTCCATCCTGCTTACCAGCTATCTCCTTGGCTACGTGGTACATAGTTGCAAAGGGCGGTGGCACCGATGGCGCTCTCAGGAGGAGTATTGCACTGGAGCACCGAGGCCGATGCGAAGGGGAGGACATGGAGGGACCACAGCACGAGGGCGACAGGCAAGGTAGGTAAGGCGGGGGCACTTGAGGTAGAGACATGTGCTGTTTGGACGCTGAAGGCACCCAGAAACGAAGCCCCAGAGCTCTTCTATCACGTGCATATGGTCCGTAGCGGTCCAACGGAGCATGGACGGATGGAGAAGGAGGAGGAGGAGGTAGAATGAGAGGAAGGAGGAGGAGGAGGAGGAGGAGGAGGAGGAGGAGGAGGAGGAGGAGGGAAGGAGGAGGAGGAGGAGGAGGAGGAGGAGGAGGAGAAGGATCGAGGAGGAGGAGGAGGAGGATCGAGGAGCCCGAGGACGGGAGAGAGCATGGAGGGGGAGGGAAGGAGAGGACTGCGCCCGCGCAGCGCAGCGCGCACGCGCGCGCGCCTGCGGCGACTCGTCCGCGGTGGCACCCGCGCGCCCTGCGCCCTCGGCCGCGGGGTCCTCGGCGGGGGCGGCGCCCCCGCGCCCTGGCGGCGCCCCGGCGCCCGCCGCGCCCGCGGCCCCCGCGGCGGCCGGCGGCGCCGCCATCGGCCGACGGCGCGGCGGCGCAGCGCGGCGCCGGCGGGCGAGGGGGGCCCTTCCAGCTGAAGGGGCGCGCCCGAGCGAAGTGAGGACGAGGAAGGACGATGGCGAGGGGAAGGAGGAGGATGATGGCGAGGATGACTGCGAGGGTGATGACGACGAGGACGAGGGCGACGTTGATGTTGATGTTGATGTTGATGGTGATGGAGATGGTGACAGTGGTGCTGCTGCTGATGATGATGAGAAGGGGGAGGAGGAGGAGGAGGAGGAGGAGTAGGAGGAGGAGGAGGAGGAGGAAGAGGAGGAGACGAAGGAGGAAGAGGAGGAGGAGGACGAGGAGGAGGATGGTGATGATGATGATGATGATGCTGATGATGCTGATGATGCTGGTGATGATGATGATGATGATGATGATGATGACGACGACGAGGACGATGATGATGATGCTGATGCTGATGATGCGGATGCTGATGCTGATGCTGCTGCTGATGATGATGATGATTGTGATGATGATGATGATGATGATGATGATGATGATGATGATGATGATGATGATGATGATGATGATGATGATGATGATGATGTTGATTACGGTGGGGACGAGGAGGAAGAGGAGAAAGCAGGGAGGAAAGACCGAGACATCTGGCGTCGCGACTTTTTCACCGCGTGGCTCCTCCGAGGCACACAGGTCCGGGCCCCTTGCTGGGGACGGCTTCCGAGTCATCCTTTGACGGCCTTGGGGACCAGCAAGAGCCCCCGAACATCGACAGAAGCCTCCCGTCGGAAGCGGCGGGAACATGTCGGGGGAGGCGGAGGGAGTAGTGGAGGATGGGGAAGAAAGCAGGGACCATGACCAAGGCTGCACGCGGACACGCCGTTGAGATCTGGGCATCCGTCGATCTTGGTCAGCGTCAATGTGCAAATCACATTCGCGAATCGGCGACGACCGACATGGACCATGTCCAAGATCGGCATCGGCAAGGTCGCGCGGCGTGCTGGTCATGGTTCCCCCGTGATTCTTCCCTCGAAGTGGGGAGGCGGAAGCGAGTTTGTTTTTCCTTTACTGCTTGCGACATCAGCAAACCTGCCAAGCATTACTCATGGAGAACGGCGCCTCCCCCCTGAGGGCTTTGGCCACGACAGCTTTTGCACCACGGCCCCCGCAGACGCCAACAGAGTGTGGCTGTTCCTGGCCCGGCCGCGTGGCCGATACAGCATGTAAAAGCGACAGAGGGGTGCCATCGACACAGTGGGGAGCGGGAGCGAGGAGGGGCCTTCACGCGCGCGCCGTCGCGGGGCGGTGGCGGGTCTGCGCACAGGGCCTCCGCGCACACACACCACCACCGCGCCCGGTCAGGGCCGACCTGGGCCCTCGGGTGGCGCGGGGCCCGCCTGGCCTCGGCCAGGAGGGGTGCAGGGGATGGAGGGGGGGAAGGAGGCGGGGGGGGGGGGGAGAAAGAGGGAGGTCGCGAGGAGCGAGGGGGGAGCGAAAAGGGAGCGAGGAAGGAAGGGCCTCAGGCTAAGAAATGATCCTCCTTTCGTCGTCCTTCCTGCTTGCTCCTCCCTGTGCCCTCCCCTCATCCCTCATTCCTCCTCCCTGCTTGCTCCTTCCCTCCAAAGTCTCCCTCCCCGCCATTCCCCCTCCCACTTTGGGACCTCTTCTGGTCTGGCGGCGGCCGCACCGCTGGGAGGAAAGATGTTCATCATCCTGCCCTTTCCTCCTTGGCGCTCCTTCTCTATTATCCTCCTCCTCCTCCTCCTCCTCCTCATCTTTCGAACCTCCTTCTTCCTCCTACCTCATTCCTCAACCGCCGTCTGCCGTCCTTCCACTTCCCCTGCGTCCGTGCGAGGGGAGAGAGGGGAGAGAGGGGAGGGGCGCAGGGAGGAGTGCGATGGAGAGAAAGGAGGGGGGGCGGATATAGTAGGCCCAGAAAGGAGGGCAACGGGAGGAGAGCGAAGGCGGAGGGAGAAGGGCGAGGAAGCGGAGGAGGGGGTGGGGGGGGCGGGCGGAAGAGGGCGGAGGGAGGAGGGCGAGAAGGAGAAGAAGTGGGGGAGGCGAGGGGGGTAATCCACGGGCGCAAGTGCGGGCTGCAGAAAGATCCGCTGAATCAGGGCACACAAGCTGGTCGTCAAATCTGCAGACAAGGCCAACATCAAGATAACGAAAAACGACACCGAAACCACGACACCACGACTACGGCAACGAGCTGGAGCTGCATACCAAGAACCAGCGCCAAACTAAAGCTGAATATGAAAGATCAGCGAATTACCAATCAAGCCAAACCGACGGCATTACGACACCACGACACTGTCGTCGTCCTCCCCCGCGTCGTCGTCACCCCATCACCATCATTATCCGGCCATCCTTCTCCTAATCCCCGTCATTCTGACCACTGGTCATCCTCATCGATCTCCTCGCCGTCGTCGTCTCCCTCTTTTTCGTCACTCTGGTCGCACTCCATTTAATCCCCGTCGCACTCCTTCAGACACCCCCCGATCTGAAGCATGCAGTTCAACTCACTGACAACGGTGCGCTCCCTTGCACAACTCCCTGTCTCTCTCATTATCTGTTTCTGTCTCGTTGTCTTCCTCTCACTCGCCCGACCCCTCCAAGCGTAACACGAACGCTTGAGGGCTTGCCCGTGCAATGATATCCAATTCGCGTCTTTTCGTGAGGAACGCCACTGCGGCGCTACCGCCACTGTAAATGCTCCTGCCTCAAGAAGACCTGGCAAGTGTAACGAGCGCCTGTACGAAGCCAGGCTGCACCTGTTCCACGACGTCATCACTGCATGATCTTGTTCGACGTCTTGTTCGTCGGCTCAAAATCGTACTTTTTGAAATACAGCGTGATCTGGTCCTGGTCGCCCGCAATCGATGCCGCTGACAGCAGCAGGTGATGGCAGAGGAGGCTCCGCTCATCCCTTCTGCCCGTTTCAGCGCCGACGGGGGTGCATCCAGGGGGGGGGGGGGGCGGGCTGTCGATTTTCTGTCGATCACTGCTCCAGCTCCCCGAGATGACAGCCACGAGGAGGACGGAGAGGAGAAATAGGAGAGGGGGGAGGAATAGGGGATTGAGAAATGTGACGTCCTTCGCCCTCGTTGGGCCTCCCAGGGGGCGGAGAGGGGGGGGCTGGTCGCCATGGCTGGATTTGCCTCGAGACAAACCGAAACGGGCGCTCCCGGAGAGGCTGGGGCCCCGATCTGGCCGCCAACGGGCAAGTGGAACACCCCTTGGCGGCTCCCCCCTTGGGGTCCCCGAGCGCCACGCCTGCTCCACCGCGGTGACCACGGGGCCCCCGTGGGGAAAGGTGTCGACGGTGCCCAAACCCGGCGATTTCGCTGCAGACCTCCACAGTCTGGACGCGAGCCGGCAAGTGTCTCCCTCCCTGGCGACTCTTCCTCGAGGTGCCCACGCCGGGCCTGCTATCTGTAAGTCGGGCAGGCCCCTCTACAGGAGGGGCATGCAAAAATAATACAAAAATGTCAGGGGACGTTTTCTGTTCGACTACGTTCGAATCTGTTTGAGCTTTTTTGTGGACTATTTTTGTTTTTTCGTCCAAGATCCGCCTGTAGGGGGCCATGCCTGCCCTGAGGCCATCTCGCGGTGGACAGTCGGTTCTCGCAAACAAGCGAAGCCGCGGGCGCCAGAGGAGCGAACCGCGCGAGACTTCCCCACGCTCTGGGCGCGGACGGGGGAGCGCAGCACCCCCTGGCGGCTCCTCCTTGGGGTGGCGGTTGCCCAGGCGCCACCCCCTCCTGCGGCACCGCGGCGACCACGGGGCTCTCAAAGGAGAGGAGTCGGAGTCGGAGGAGTCGGAGGAGTCGGAGGCGCAAAACGAGCGCCTCGCGTGAGGCATCCGCGCGGTCTTGGCCGCGAACGGGCACCCCGTTCTCCCCCCCAGCGGCTCCTCCCCGGGGTGCCAGAACGGTACGCCTGCCCCGTCGCGGTGGTCATGAAGCTCTCGAGCGGGGGAGGGTCGCGTGTTCGAAGCGGGCGCCTGGCTCGGGACATCCCCACGATCTGGCGCCCGAGTGCCACGCCTGCCAGATCGCTGCAGTCATGAAGCTCTCAGAAAAGAAAGAAGTCGGGAGTTCAAAACGAACAACTCGCTCGAATCATACCCACAATTTGACCGCGAAGTGCCCCCCTCCCTGACGGCTCCCCCGTGAGGTGGTAAGTGGAAAAGGAAAACAGCGTCCAAAACCCGAATAGTTGTTCATGGCCCCTGGGCCTGGCAAAGTCCCCCAAAGACAGAAAGCTGCCAAAAACCGCCCGCCGTGATTTTCCGATTCGAGACGCGGAGATGTCAGGGAAGTGTAGACAACAAAACAATTACATACACATTTCGGATGTCCGCGCGGATTTCATGAATTTGCGCTGGACTCCTACGCTGGCGCGCTGAGCACGCCAGGGGCGCCGCCGGAGGCGCCTCAAAGGGGGCCCATCGCCGATCCAAGAAATCCGCGCGAAACCCCGAACGTTATGGTGATAGCTTTTCGGAAGCATTTTTTTGTTCGCGGCGATAACAGGTGGTATGGGGAGGGGAGGAGGGGGGAGGAGCCGGGGGGGGGGGCGGGGGGCGGCATAACGTAGCGCCCCCGTTTCCCACCGTGACAGACTGCGGTGCCCGACGCTGCGGCAGTGCCGGAAACGCACTGGGGGGAGGTCGAGGGGCATAACCCGCCGACGTCGTCGTCGTCGTCGCCGTCGCCGACGTCGTCGAGAAATTCGCGCGGAGCCCCGAACGTTATGTCTACATTTGCCCTAATTAACCATCCTGTGTTGAGTTTGGTACTCGTTTTCAATCAGCCGCGCCGAGCGGCTTCCTTCCCTCGTCGCCCCCGACCCATGTTGCGCCCGCATGCCGCCGCCACCCCACTTTGGCGCACTACTCACACGCTGTGTGGCCCCATACGGAGCTCCACCGAAGGCCCCAGCGGATGCGCCCACATGCGGCCGCCACCACTCCACCCCCATAGGGAACTCCACCTGAGGCCCCAGC